CCATGCACTTTGATTGGGTCATATTAGTGAGAAGTGTGAGATTGTCAAGCCCCCAGTGTTCACATGCAAAACATTTAATTGGACATTATTATTTGGCTGGAAACTGAGCGGCAGATGAATGAGCCAGTGACGGTCACCTATGAATGGAAACAGCTGAAGCAAGCACATTTCCTCTGCTGAACAAAGCCAACTCGGTGCACTTAATTACTGTGATCATTCCTTTGATATTAATGAGAATCATTCTGTATTTTCAAACTTGTATACTAGATACTACAAACATATTTGTAGATGGCAAAAAAGATCCGTTTACGTAGTTGTGATGGTGACCAGAATGAACGTGTGAAAATGAAGAAGATTGGATCATGGGGGTAAGATTTAAGGGACACTTACCACCAATATTTAAAATACATCCATTTGTCTAAAATGTGAACGAATCCTTATTCAAGAAATCTACTGTAAATATTACTCAGAGGTGCCCATTTCTCCTCCTACAGTGGGTCTTTTTTTACTCCTAAAACAGACACTCACTGTCCACTTCACTACACATGTCCTCAACTGCTTATTTACCCAAATATCTAATTAGTCAATCACACGGCACCAACTCAGTGCCTTTGGGCATGTAGACATGATCGAAACAACATGCTGAAGGTCAAACTGAGCATCAGAATGAGGAAGAAATGATTTCAGTGACTTTGAACATGGCATGATTGGTGCTGGTCTGAGTATTTGAGAAACTGTTGATCTGCTGATCCAACAAAAACATGTCTGGGTTTATAGGGAGCAGTTCAAAACAGGGAAGATATCCAGCGAGCAGCAGCACTCTGGGTGAAAATGCTTTATTGATGCCAGACGTCAAGGCCCAGGCTGTTTTTGGCTTAATAGGAAGGAAACAGCAACTCAAAAACCACTTATTAACAATAATGTGGTTTGATGTGTTGTGCATTCATCTCTGAGTGCACAACACATCAAGAGGCTACAGCAGCACAGCACTATACCAGGGGCCACTGCTGTCAGCAAAGACCAGGAAACAGCTGGCTCACCAAAGCGGGGCAGCAGAAGTTTGGAAAATTGTGCCCGATTTCATGAGTCTTGATTTCTACTGTGACGTGTAGGCTCACAGTTTTGGCGTAAACAACAAGAAAGCATTCAGCCGCTCTGCCTCGTATCAAAGGTTCAGGCCTTTAGATATAATGTCAGGGATGTTTTCTTAGCATATTTTAGTACCAACTGAGAACTGTTAAAGGACGCAGCCTGTATGGAGTATTGACTGTGTCCATCCCTTTATGATGTTGTTAATAAGCATCTACCATCTAACATGGTTGCAATGCACCACGTCACAAAGCTCAAATTATCTCAAGCTGGTATCTTGAACATGAGGACGTTCGGCACCTTTGGGATGGGATAGAAGGATCTGCAGATGTGGAGCAGCATCTGGCTGATGCTAGCACGTCAATATCGTCCAAATCCTCTGAGGAATGTTTTGAGCACCTTGTTGAATCTGTGCCATGAAGAATTAAGGACGATGAAGGTAAAATGCTCAGTATGAGCAAGGTGTAACTAATGAAGTGGGCGGTGAGTGTAAATATGAAGGGGGATTTTCCACAACCACTGAATATAAATATAATTAGCCCCGCATCACCACCAACACAAACGTGTTAAGATCATAGTACTGACTACACAGCATCTCCTCCTCTCCTGTGGCATCGAGGCAGGGAGGAGAAAAACGAGGAGAAGGTGCAATATTTGGAGAGTAATTAAAGCGTACCATAGAACCAAGTCCACCAGAGCTTATATTATAT